TTTTTTATTTATATCAAGCAATTCTTTATCTACTCTAGAATTCATTCTTTTCTGAAGTTAGTTCATTTTTTAAATCAGATGATTCTTTGATAAATAATGTATTTGTATTGCTACTACTAATTTGAAATGAATTATAATGAACCATTGTTGAAAATTTTAATCAAGTAAAATTATACAATTGAAGCAATCATCCTTCAATCAACCAATGCAACAAAGTAAATGATGAAGACTTACTTTCTCTTTTAAGACTAATCTATTTGTTTTTTTCAAATAGAAACTGATAGATTCCCATTTGGATATCATGTAAGCAAACCAAATCTATCAGCTTATCTAAATTTCTTTTGGGTTCATCAACAATTTCAATTTCTTTAGATATTATAAGTTATTTTTAATATAGAAAATGAATCTTTTTAATAGCCATTAAGACTCTCTATTCATATTGAATTTATTATAAATAGAATTTTTTTATTAAATTTTAATTAAAAGCAAATACAAAATTTTAAACACTGATATTTACATGATTAAAATTCATAACACTCTATTATCACTCATCTCTCTGCTTAAAAAGATATAACAATCTCACAAAGTCTCAAATGTAACTAATTTAATAAGTTTCTTAAAAAATATACATTTTTTATTTTTTCATAAATGGCCCATATTCCAAAAATCAAATTTTTGCTTATGATAATTATTTGCACTTAATTACTACCAAAAATAATGAACAAAATTTTAAATTGTTAAGGTCTATATTTTATTATGAGTTAATTTACAATTTAAAAGATATTTGTTTGTGTATAATCTAAGTTCTAAGTTTTATTACCTCCTATAACGGCAACAATATGATAAAGTCTAAAAGATATTCCATTACTTAGAAAACCTTTAATTGTAGTTGTAAAAAATGGGAACTCTGTTATTTTTTAAAGAGAACCATATCTATCTGGATCAAACAAGGTGATCGTTAAATTGATGATTCAATTGACATCGTAAATAAGAACTTTAATTAACCTTTTGAGTTATTAAATTTGCAATTTAATATTTACATTAATACAGTGGAGAAATAAAGTTAAACTTTGAAAAGTTTTAAAACAAAAGACAATTGTTCTAAGTGTTTCATGAAATCGATGAAAAAGGACTTTAGAATAATTCAAGAATATACCTATTGTAATTAACTACAATCTAATTAATTGTTGTTCTAAAATTAAAGCTTCGATCAGAATGAATAGGAGACTGTAAATAATTTCTGAGAATATTGAAATTAAATAAACAGAGCCATAATATATAAAAGGGTATAATTCAGCACCAATTGATAATTGGCAAACGAAAATAAATTAGAGGATGGGAAAGTTTTGGATATTTTTAAGTATTAAAAATGGTTGCCGATGATGACTTCGTCTATGAAAAGCTGTGATGAGTTTACATTGATAGCATGAAGAGATTAATGTTAAAAAACAATAATTTAAACTTTTGGAAGTGCAATTTATTGGTGCTATCTGAAACTTTATGCTTATGACTTAATCAGGCAATCATATTGAAAGCTTTAATTTTTCAAAGATCTCTATCTTATAGAATTTTGGGCTTTAGTTGTCTAACCCCTTTATGTAGAGTTGACATATCGGGATCATTTCAAAGTTATCTAAAGTAAACTTCTCGTTTTTGAGTTTTGGAGGTTATTTTAATTGCAGTTTAGAATTTTTAATCAAATTGTACCAAAATTTAACATATAATTATTTTGCCAATATTAAACTAAGCAAATTATTCATGCAACCAGGTAATAAATCATTGTTATCCCATATAGACTAATTCTGTCTATTTTTGCACTTAAAATCTTGATCATCTCATCTAATAAAAGAATTTTTGTAATAACATTCGGCTTAACCCAACTCAAAGGAGGATTGTGATAGAGTTCGTGTTTGGTTTTCAAAAAAAAAACTAAATTGATATTGCGTATTTATAATAATTTTTGATAATCAATTTTATTGTTATTATGCTCCAATTTTGCTTTGTAAAGTGAAACTTCCTTTAGATTTGAATAATTATAGTAAATCTACTCCTTTATAATTTAGAAATTCTCCATTCAGAATACAAGCTCTTTAGGCTACTAACTTGGGATTATTGGTAATTCTAAGATTAGTAATAATATTAGAGGTAGCTAAAAATTAGTGAAGATAAATACTAATTTCTTGAGGAACATTATTTTTAAAAATTGGATGTTAAAATTGTGGGAGTATATCTTAACTATTATTTGAAGTAAAGATATCTTTTCCTGTTTCTATATCCCATAAGAGAATGGACTTATCTACACTACCAGATGCTAATATAGTACTATCAGGAGAGAAGCAGACTGAATAAATATAACTTGTATGCCCATTTAATTTGGCTTATTATTATCTTGTTTTAACATCCCATAAACAAATAGAATAATCATAACTACCAGATGCTAATAAAGTATTATCAGGAGAGAAGCAGACTGAATAAACATAACTTGTATGACCAATTAATTTGGATTATTATTGTATTGTTTTAACATCCCATAAACAGACAGAATTGTCAAAACTACCAGATGCCAATGTTGTACCATCAGGAGAGAAACAGACTGATTGAACCAAATATTAATGACCGTCTAATTTGGCTTTTTATGACCCTGTCTTAACATCCCATAATCGGATAGACTTATCATAACTACCAGATGCTATTGTAGTACCATCAGGAGAGAAACAAACTGTATAAACCTAATATTAATGACCCTCTAATATGGCTTTTTATAATCCTACCTTAACATCCCATAATAATATAGCCCTATCATCACTACCAGATGCTAGTGTATTTCCATCAGGAGAGAAACAGATTGAATTAACACTATCTGTGTGACCGTGTAGTTTGGCTTTTTATAGACCCGTTTTAACATCCCATATACTGATAGAGCTATCTTTACATCCAGATGCTAATTTAGTACCATCAGGCGAGAAAAAGACTGAATTAATACTATCTGTATCACTAACTAATTTGGCTTTTTCTTGTCCTGTTTTAATATCCCATATTCTAATAGACTTATCTTTACTACAAGATGCTAATGTGGTACCATCAGGGGAGAAACAGACCTACATGACAGAACCAGTATGACCATCTTATTTGGCTTAATGTGATACCGTCTTAATATCCCATAAAAGGATAGATTGATCATAACTACCAGATGCTAAAGTAGTACCATCAGGAGAGAAACAGACTGAATTAATGTAATTCGTATGACCATATAATTTGGCTTTTTATTTTCCTGTCTTAACATCCCATAAAAGAATAGTCTGATCATAACTACCAGATGCTAATGTCGTACCATCAGGGGAAAAACAGACTGATCGAACTTCTTGAGTATGACCATTTAATTTTCCCTTTTATTATCCTGTATTAACATCCCAGAACCGGATTGAATTATCTTTACTACTAGATGCTAATGTTTGACCATCTGGAGAGAAACAGCCAGTTTTGACATCATGACAATATTCATCTAATCTCGCTGTTTATTTTCCTGTGTTAACATCCCACAAATTGATAAAGCCATGAATACAAGTTGCTAATGTGGTACCACTCGGAGAAAAACAGAGTAAAGTGACTTAACGAGTATGAGCATATAATTCTGCTTTTTATTATCCTGTCTTAATATCCCATAAAAAGATAGAATTATTAATGGTACCAAACGCTAATCTAGTACCATCAGAAGAGAAACAGACTGAATTAGCCAAATTAATGCTACAATTTAATTTTTACAGACATTTCCCTGTTTTAAGATTCCATATATATACAAATAATCGATTGGAAGAAGCTAAGGTTATACTATTTGAAAAGAAGCAGACTGAAAAAGCCTCACTTTTTCCTTGTAATACTGACTGTATTTTTCCTGTTTTAAAATTCCACAATCGAATTGATTTATCATAATTGCAACATGCTATTAACTTACCATCTGGAGAAAAGCAAACTTATTTGACGCGCCCGCAATTACCATGCAACTTGATTCCCTCATTTATACCTAAATTTGTCCACCTACAATTGAATAATTTTGTGCGATTTAAGTTAACTCCACTAATAATAACATTGTTAAATTCAGATCCACTTAAGTTACATCTGACTAAATTTGCTCCTTATATTGAAGTATTTCTAATTCTAATATTCTCAAAAGATTATTCCCTCAAATAAACCTTCATTTCAACTAATAAATGAAGAGAATTTGATCCACACTAAATGTATCTTTCATCTAACGCAGTAAGATGAACTAAAAACTTTAATAATTCAACGATAATCTTATCATTTGATATTTTTGTGATAAGTTCTTATTTCCTTTCTTCATATTCTACTAATGAGTAATTTTGCTTATTGAAATCATGATCTTTCAATTTTTTAAGACCATCTGTGATTTTGTACATGTCATTTTTTCCAACTTTATATTTCATTTCCTTTTCATTTAGTGATATTTTTTCTAAACATTAAATGTCTTATTCATATAAATATTGAATTTTATCGAATGAGAGAAACTCTACACAGTCTTAAATCTTCTCTCTTTTCAAAATTTATATTAAGGCTTGGAAGGATGATTCATCCACATTTTAAAAGGAAGCTAATACCCGATACAAATCTTCATTTTAATTANCTTGAGTATGACCATTTAATTTTCCCTTTTATTATCCTGTATTAACATCCCAGAACCGGATTGAATTATCTTTACTACTAGATGCTAATGTTTGACCATCTGGAGAGAAACAGCCAGTTTTGACATCATGACAATATTCATCTAATCTCGCTGTTTATTTTCCTGTGTTAACATCCCACAAATTGATAAAGCCATGAATACAAGTTGCTAATGTGGTACCACTCGGAGAAAAACAGAGTAAAGTGACTTAACGAGTATGAGCATATAATTCTGCTTTTTATTATCCTGTCTTAATATCCCATAAAAAGATAGAATTATTAATGGTACCAAACGCTAATCTAGTACCATCAGAAGAGAAACAGACTGAATTAGCCAAATTAATGCTACAATTTAATTTTTACAGACATTTCCCTGTTTTAAGATTCCATATATATACAAATAATCGATTGGAAGAAGCTAAGGTTATACTATTTGAAAAGAAGCAGACTGAAAAAGCCTCACTTTTTCCTTGTAATACTGACTGTATTTTTCCTGTTTTAAAATTCCACAATCGAATTGATTTATCATAATTGCAACATGCTATTAACTTACCATCTGGAGAAAAGCAAACTTATTTGACGCGCCCGCAATTACCATGCAACTTGATTCCCTCATTTATACCTAAATTTGTCCACCTACAATTGAATAATTTTGTGCGATTTAAGTTAACTCCACTAATAATAACATTGTTAAATTCAGATCCACTTAAGTTACATCTGACTAAATTTGCTCCTTATATTGAAGTATTTCTAATTCTAATATTCTCAAAAGATTATTCCCTCAAATAAACCTTCATTTCAACTAATAAATGAAGAGAATTTGATCCACACTAAATGTATCTTTCATCTAACGCAGTAAGATGAACTAAAAACTTTAATAATTCAACGATAATCTTATCATTTGATATTTTTGTGATAAGTTCTTATTTCCTTTCTTCATATTCTACTAATGAGTAATTTTGCTTATTGAAATCATGATCTTTCAATTTTTTAAGACCATCTGTGATTTTGTACATGTCATTTTTTCCAACTTTATATTTCATTTCCTTTTCATTTAGTGATATTTTTTCTAAACATTAAATGTCTTATTCATATAAATATTGAATTTTATCGAATGAGAGAAACTCTACACAGTCTTAAATCTTCTCTCTTTTCAAAATTTATATTAAGGCTTGGAAGGATGATTCATCCACATTTTAAAAGGAAGCTAATACCCGATACAAATCTTCATTTTAATTACACTAACACCTCATTTTCCTTTTATTAATAATAATAATAGTAATAATAATAAATTTCTATTGCTGTATTTTGAGTATTATATTAAATAATAAAAAATTGGATAAATAACAATATTGAGAGCGAAGGGATAGGGATGTTAGTAGAGTTTGCTTTTTATTATCAAAAATAGTATATTATTTAAATTACAATATGTTGATATTTTCATTCTTTAAACAAACAATTTTATTGATGTTCTAAATAATGTTAAATAAGTAAGGTTTGAATAAAATTAAAAAAGATAATGACAATGAATATTCTACGCCAAAAAAACCACCTCCATAACTCTAAAATCAATTAGCTAAAAAATAAGAATAATGAATTTAAATTGATTAAATGTGTTATTTTAGTGTCTATATACAATAAAAGTATTTTCTCATTTAACTTGCAATTATAATACTTAAAATAATAATAATACATTTAATTAAATAAAAAAAATTTACATTAAAAATTAAACAAGTCATCATACAAATTAATATAGAGGGATTGTATGGAATGATAAGTTAGAAAGGTTGGATTGCGAAACCGAAACTGGATTTCCTCTTCAATGTTTATGATAATCTTTTCATATTCGATCCAATTAAAAAGAAAGAAGTTAAATTTCTTAATGGAGCCTTACAAGGATCTGCTTTAAGCCCTTTCTTATTCAATATCTTTTTTGATCATGTGTAAAAAAACCAAGAAAAAACTAGAGAATTAGGCAGAGGACCTTCTGAGGAAAAATAAAAGTAAGAAATATTGGACTAGGGGAGCTGAAATCCTTGCTTATGCGGATGATGTTGTTATCTACTCGAGAGCAGAAGTAGGAGATCTTTGTGCCAGAGCATTTATAGAATCTTGTCAGGGTTTGTTGTTGAAAGTTAACTTGAAGAAAACGTAGTACCTGGCAAATAAACCGAGCGAGAATCTAAACCAAATGAAAATTGCATTAGTGGAGGAGTTTAGATACATAGGGATTTGATTACTATCACAAAGAAAATAAATAGCTAAAAGACTGCCAAACTTGGATTTTTGAGAAGGATTATTCCATTTAGGCTGCTAACTAAGCCTTAAACTAAATATATTCTACCGCATATTAGAATTTCAGAACAAAGCTGTCTGGTAAAAGAAATCTATGAACTTATTACGGTAGATAATAAAGAGGACTTCTTTCAGAAGAGTTTGGGACTTAATAAAGCTTTCCAAAGTCAATAATCGATGAATAATAGGGACACTGGAATTCGACGTTAAGGAAAGCGGGTATATAAGGATAATTAAAAATAGCGTTATTCAGACATCATCTTTACTCTTATGAATCAGAGGGCTTTACGTGGTTGCAAAAGGGGGTAACTTTACAATTATTTTCCTTTGTACATATAGCAGGGTGATGATCTAGGGGTATACAACCTTAAAGATAATAAATTCGATTCCTAGGATTGGCTGCTAAAAAAGTTCATTAATTAAAATGATAACTACAATATTGGAAACAGTATCTTATAGAAGGAATTTGACAGATTGCAAGGACTGGAAAGAACTATCAATCATTTGAGAATGATGAGATTAAACGAAGAATCTAGCCCTAGGAAATTCGCAGAATTCCCAGTTATGAATGATTTGAATCCTTTTAACACAGGTGGAGAAAATGTAAAACGTATTATAAAACATGACAATGAAACATATCATGAACCATCTGTTCTGAGAACGGGGCGGCTGGTATGAGAAGTTGAGAAAGATCGTAGACTATGTCTAGAATTTTAAGTCGATCTTTACTAGTAGGTTCAGAAGGCGATGCGACAAATGTAAAAAATAGCCAAGAGAATCAAGAAATTGATTAGAATGGAATTTGAACCCTTCACTTTTAAACCAAAAAACAGCCATGAGCATTAATCAACATAATAATAATTATTATTATTATTTTAGGTATTAAAAGGATTATCAATTATTGAATATTGGCTTTAAGCCAAATTAAACCAATTCCGAATGATTTTAGAGAATTAATGATTTTAACAGAAATTTTTATTGGAGTTCTAATTAAAGCATTCTACTTAATTTACATATATTTGACTAGATTGGATCTACTATAAATTACTTTTATAATGGTATAAATTGTACCTAAGTGTTACTGACTTTACACTGTAAGTCATTAGTTATAACTAGTTTGAAATTGCTCTCCAATCATTTTTTTAATAGATCTGTAAATATAGATCGTTATTATAACCAAGCCTTTCACAAAAATTATTATGTCTGTAATACATGCTTGGTATGTCCTCTCTTTTGCACTAAATAATTTGCTTCTGATAATAGTTCTGAGTGAGCTAGAGGATTTGATAGCATTGCAACTTGCAAACATTATTTTTTATTGAGTTAGTCAAATAATTGACTTTGAATCTTTCATGAAAACAAATGGGTCCACAAGCGGTACTTAACTTTTTCATTTAAAATATATGCACATTAAAGCTTCTGAAATCACCTTAAAAATGAAGATTGAAAACCCACTGGTTCACTTTCTGCCTTTTATATAGTATTCTGACAATAAAATTCTTATGGTAACTTTGTCTCTAGTAATAATTTATAAAGCGCTATAACAACTAGCTCACAGGCTCATGTACAACTACTAATAGGCATTGTACTGAACCTTGTATTTCAAATTCTAAACCTTAATACACTGAGTGTAATGATGTCTTATATTAATGCTAGCGAGAAATTTTAAACACTTCTAACATGTGGTTCTATAGAGTTTTTATAGATACAAGGCATAGATGTGAATGTATTAGGGATCCGAAATGAAATGAATCAAATTTTGGATAGAATCAGTATATCCTTAATTTAAATCTTTGCAACTAAAACTGTTAAATCTTAATTGCTACTGTCAAAGTGATTTCAAATGTGATTAATTTTTTGCAACTAAGCTTAATGGTAATCATCTGAATCCTAAGAAAATTTTTGTATTTTTCTATTTTAATCTTTCAAAAAGTCCATAAATGTTGATTATAAAATTAAAATTGTTCTATTTATAAAAGGGATTGAAGCTTAAAAATAATTATAAATATATAGGTTAAGGTTTAGGATGTTAGAATTAATTATTAGAGATATGAGTTGGTCATTCTGATTCTTTTGGATAATTAAGTAATGACGGAGAGTATTTATTTATATGGAATTATATTTCAAAGATGATAGAAATAAGAAAGTATTAGGAATTATGAAATAATTACATAAACTAAATTGAAATATTATTGTATTTTACTTTTTATTCTTAATTTCTAACTCTAATTTTAGAAATTAAATTTTATATAAAATGAGTTTATTAACAAAAAAAAAATAATTCCAGTCAATTATTTGATAAGTTTCTTTTTATGGGCCATTACCGACTGACTTGAATGCTTATATCACTTTGTTTTTCTAATATAATGAATAGGAAAAGTATTATATTATTTCAATAAACTCAACTATTAGTCTAGAAATTTATTTTAGTTGGTAATCAGGTTTAGTAACACATACTAATTAAATACTGCAATAGTTTGAGGAATAACATAACTAAATGCCCAATTAAATGTTTAACTGCAAAATCTGTAATTTCATATTTCCGCTATCAATAATATGTTATATTTTGAGATATTAGAATTACTAAATTAATTTAAATATCATTTTCTTGTTTCAAGTTCCTCATCTCTAACATAAATTGCTACTACTTATTATAAATTCACATTTCTTTTTAAGAGCATTCTTGTTTTTTTGAAACTCACGCTCATAAATCTCTAAATCGCTCAATCTATGCCACATTTCTTCAAAAAACCAGAGGCAATCTTATTATCTAAATTTACTTGAATAAACAAAAAGGTATCAGATTGTGGATTAGTATTTTTATTTGAATTAAATAATAACAAAGAGAATTAATTTTATATCTATAAATTATTTAGTTCATTTCATCTCAATCTTTACCATAGAGTCTATTGACTTCCTTATGAGTTAGTCCTTTAGTTTCTTTCACAAAAAAATAAAAGAATACTGTTGACAATAATGTTAGAATTAAGAAAACAATAAATGAGCCACTCATAGCTAAGGTATCCAACATCAATGGAAATATATACAAGACTAACAATTACCAACCATACAGAGTTACAAAGCAGAAATAAGTCCCTTCACTTGAATTGATTTCTGGAATCATGGACTTAATAAATTGAAGATTTTACCCAGGTGATAGGTTCTAAAGTCAATACATATTAAAATGAAAAGACACAGATTATAATAAATGAAACAATAACAGTAGATAATTCTTCAGAATAACTAAGCCCAATTATGAGTATCTAACATAAAATCAGGACAGCCAATCCAAATAATAACAATGATCTTTTACCCCATCTTCCATATACATATTTAGATACAAAAGCAGGAGCAAATTGTACTATTCCAATAATTAAATTAAATATTGCATTCAACGTAGTATCATCTTTCGACATCTCTGAGAATATTTAGGAACTATAAGAAAATAATGCAAATAATCCTGACCAAGTATAAACGAAAACTAGAACGCACCCAATAGTTACTGTTTTTCTGTGCTTTTTAGTAAATATACTGAGTATCCCTTCTCCAAGTTAAATATTATATTGAACTCCTAATTTACATTCTGCAAAAGATTAATCGATAAATTATGCTTGATAAATCGTTCTTAATATCTGTTTGGCTAATTCATCTTTATTCTTTTGAATCAAACTTATGGGACTATCCATTTTATATATAAATGTAAGAATAAAAGATCTAAAAAAGTGTATTAAAGCAGGAAATGCAAAAATAAATTTCCAATAATTAGACTCAGGTCCATTTAAAGATTCATCAATATAACCTAAACCTAGAAAAGTGACAAACAAATATCCACCTCCTACCAAAAAGCCAGCCATCACAGAAAAAGACTCATAATATTTCTGAGGACACAGTTCTTTTAAATATAATGGCATTATTATTGTTGAGATGCCCAAACAAACACCAAAACTGAATCGAAAAACAAGGATAACTTCTCTATTTGGAATTATTTAAAGGATGCTGAGAACACCAAAAAAATCTGAAATTAATAGAGATTGATTTCTTGTTGCATGTTTAAGCAATGGTGATGTCATAACAGCACCAAAAATTTGGCCAATTGATAAAACAGCACTAAATAAGCCCTATTCTTCGATCTCAGATGACTTCAATGTACTTTTATTTTTGATATATTCTACATTTGTGAAAATAATGTTGTAAATGAAATGGATAAATACGCTAATGAGTAACCAAGTGCAAAGTTACCACTTTAAATAGCAATCATAATCACACTTAAATTAAAAAATGACTTGATTTATTCTTCAGTTTTCTATTATTATGGTTAAAGGATGACAGTGGTTGAGAGTTGATGCATTTAACTACGATTCTAATAATTTATTATACTTACTCGCTTTCAGAATTCAAATTTTCACTCTCTTTCATTTTTAATGGGAAAACTTACATTACAAATTTTAATTGGATTTTCAATATTTTTAAAATTGATTAATTTATTAACAATGTAGAAGAAAAAATAAAAATATAAAAAGTTTAAAAAATAAAAAACAAATTATAGCTTCTCTTATGCAAAATGTTAANTTAAATTAAATATTGCATTCAACGTAGTATCATCTTTCGACATCTCTGAGAATATTTAGGAACTATAAGAAAATAATGCAAATAATCCTGACCAAGTATAAACGAAAACTAGAACGCACCCAATAGTTACTGTTTTTCTGTGCTTTTTAGTAAATATACTGAGTATCCCTTCTCCAAGTTAAATATTATATTGAACTCCTAATTTACATTCTGCAAAAGATTAATCGATAAATTATGCTTGATAAATCGTTCTTAATATCTGTTTGGCTAATTCATCTTTATTCTTTTGAATCAAACTTATGGGACTATCCATTTTATATATAAATGTAAGAATAAAAGATCTAAAAAAGTGTATTAAAGCAGGAAATGCAAAAATAAATTTCCAATAATTAGACTCAGGTCCATTTAAAGATTCATCAATATAACCTAAACCTAGAAAAGTGACAAACAAATATCCACCTCCTACCAAAAAGCCAGCCATCACAGAAAAAGACTCATAATATTTCTGAGGACACAGTTCTTTTAAATATAATGGCATTATTATTGTTGAGATGCCCAAACAAACACCAAAACTGAATCGAAAAACAAGGATAACTTCTCTATTTGGAATTATTTAAAGGATGCTGAGAACACCAAAAAAATCTGAAATTAATAGAGATTGATTTCTTGTTGCATGTTTAAGCAATGGTGATGTCATAACAGCACCAAAAATTTGGCCAATTGATAAAACAGCACTAAATAAGCCCTATTCTTCGATCTCAGATGACTTCAATGTACTTTTATTTTTGATATATTCTACATTTGTGAAAATAATGTTGTAAATGAAATGGATAAATACGCTAATGAGTAACCAAGTGCAAAGTTACCACTTTAAATAGCAATCATAATCACACTTAAATTAAAAAATGACTTGATTTATTCTTCAGTTTTCTATTATTATGGTTAAAGGATGACAGTGGTTGAGAGTTGATGCATTTAACTACGATTCTAATAATTTATTATACTTACTCGCTTTCAGAATTCAAATTTTCACTCTCTTTCATTTTTAATGGGAAAACTTACATTACAAATTTTAATTGGATTTTCAATATTTTTAAAATTGATTAATTTATTAACAATGTAGAAGAAAAAATAAAAATATAAAAAGTTTAAAAAATAAAAAACAAATTATAGCTTCTCTTATGCAAAATGTTAATTATTTATGATTTCAAAATCTAACAATTAGCTTTTAACAATCTTCTTTACATCACAAGTCTCACTGCATTTAAGTGTATGAAATGATATGAGATAGCTCTGTTGTACCATTATATGTATTTCTTTTCAAAACCTCTTCGATTCTAATGTTTTGAATTTGTTCATCATCATCAAGGTAATCTTCTCTGCTTAAGTAATTTCAATCCTTCTAGGGTCTAGATTAGTATTCTTCGACAGACAAGACCTTGATACTCTCTTTATTATCTCGATATATTCGTGTAGTATTTGTTTATAGTTCTTGATATATCCACCATCGTAATTCTTTAAGATGTTCACTACGTCAACTTATTTTTTAAATTCTCATTCCATTCAAAAAATTTAGGAGATTTGAATTATATCAACCTCTTCTCAGGTTCTATTGATTTGCTCAGTACGATTAAATCCTTGAATTCAATCTCCTAAAATTATTCTTTAATTCTCCATAGGTTTCTGTTTATTCTCTTGCTCTCTTTGTATCCAGTACTTAGAATTTCATGTTATCATCCCTTATTATCTTCATTATCATGGCGAATGGTTTGTGATCTTATATATCTTTTCCTTCATGTTTTAAGAAATTCGTTTTTATTTTCTGGTAATTTCCTTGGAATGCCATCTGAATCCCAGCATCTTTTTAGAATCCTCCTCTAAAAAAGGTTGAATTGTGGATGTTCCAGCTAAAAACAAGTAATTCAACATCCTACTTCAGACATCTAGACCCAGCAGGAGTTTCTGGGGCTTCATTGTCTTTGAACCTAGTTCTCTTTCACCTTATCACTTCTTGATCTCTCTAAATGTTAAATCACCCACTTTCGACCCTCTCATTTCTCCTACATTCAGGTTGGGTTAAGGGGAGACTCTCCCAAAATGATCCAATTATGAAATCATCAAAAAATTTAAGATGAATAAAATTTATAAAATGCAATAATTATGATAAAATTACTTATATACTAACAAGGAATATGATCGAAATTTAAAACAAAAGATTTGATTAAATTCAATATTGTTTGTCTTCCTAATAATTTAAAAAAATTATTAAAATTACATACCCAAATTTAGTAAATAGCAAAATTGTAACTTATCCTTGTCATTCAAAATTATCTTAGTCAGAACTTCTTATTTATTTAAGAGATAAAAATGTTAACAAAAAATAGTTAAAAAAGTGAATAGTAAAATTTATTAGGAAGATTAAACATTTAGGAATTTTGATAGTATATTAATTATAAAATAACTTAAGCTGACAAATATATTTATAAATGCAATTCTATGATATCAATAAAAGAAAAAGTGAAAAAGTAGATGGTTTTTGAAAAAGAAAAATGTTTACTTATTCGACAATGTTCTTATTTATAAATATACAAGATGTATTATATAGTTTAAATTTCTAAAAGTATGCATTTTTAATTTATAAGCAACTTATTCTAATATTAATTAAAGATCAGAGTTTGTTATAATAAGCGTCTCATTTTGACGTAAATTAATTATGCTAAAGGGTATTTAATCTCATACATTAAAAAATTAAACAGTCTCTCCTATTCTATCGTATTCGTTTGTTTTTAATATTTAATATAATAATCCAAGTTCCTCAAATTCAGAAATCGAGGAATCTTTAATTAAATCAAGAATCTTCAATATAATCTTAATATCTATTATGATTTGTTTCCTGAGATATTATTTTGTTTCATTATTTATAATTAATTCAATTTTATTTTAAATTTTACACATACTTGCTTTGGAATCAATAGGGACACCTGATTATTTCAAATCCAATCATAACTCTAAATTCTACTGTTTTTAAATCCTATTTTACATAGTTAGAATGTTGTATTTTAAATTGATGATTTCATTTTATTATAATTATAATAGGAGGGATATAAAATATTTCAAATTAATTCCTTTTGCTACAAATACTCTAGAGCAGTATTTTATAAAATGATTTTTGAATGAATTTAATTATATTGAAAATTGCTGTAGGAAGTCTTAGGATACTCAACTAATAAGTAAGAAAACCTTTCTAACAAGTATGCTTCTGTTATAGTTATTGATTTATTAACCAAATATTTACTTACCCACTATCGTATGCAGGTTTTATAAATAACTTAAAACTTCAAATGCCAAAAATCAAACAAACTCTGATTTTCTGGTATGTTAAGTAATTAGTTGTAAAAGTCTTAGAAAAAGTGATCTTCCAAATTAGGTAGAGACTCTTTAATCTCCTGCTTCAATATCTAATTATAAGAATAATCTTTACATCTATCAAACTTTCATTGTCAGATTAACAGGCTAAAATATTACTCCTATCTAAGGCTTGCTGAATCTCTTATTAATCAACTTATTGTTAAGGAACAGTGACGATTGATTTATTAAATTAAGATCTATTATTTTTAATTGAAAGGATAATTTGTATAAGTTCAACCTAGAAATTAATTAAAATGTATTTAGTTAGAATTCTAGCTAAATTTTACCATGCAAAACCATTTGGAAGCCTTTCCACAATTTATATTATCTTCGAAGTTTAATAATAAATTGCAATAATGTATTCATGCAATTATTTAATTTGCTTTTAAGAATTTTAATGAAAATTTTCTGGAAAGTAGTTTCTGAAATAATCATGATTTTCTAATTGATCCCAATTAATTCTATCATGGGAAGAATATCGTAACATTCTATCAATTAAATCCAAAAACTAAGCCTCAAATCCCTCTTTATTTGGGCAAATAATTGGTTATTTTTGAAGAGATTATTTGACAGTTTAAACAGACTTTCCAATAACTTTAAAAGGAAGTGTATTGTATATAAGTTAATATAAAATTACTCCTAATGAGAAAATATCTGCTTTACTAGTATATTCCTAATCTGTGCAAGTTAGTTCTGGAGCAGAATATATTGGTGTTCCAGTATTAGTAATAGCATAATCATTTGTTAATACTTTTCCAACACCAAAATCAGTTATCTTAAATAAACAATAGAAATACCTTTAATTCATGTCTATCCCCAATTTTGGTAATTAAAATATTTTCTGGTTTAATATCTCTATGAATAATATCTGATTTATTGAGGTGAGAATATCCTCGAATGATTTAGCCCGCAAAATCTATAACTTGTTAAAATGTGAAAGATTTATTGTTTTATTAGTATTCTTTTATTAACTTTCCTAAATCAGAATCGCATTTCTCCATAAATTCCACAAGTATTTTTTCACCATTGTGTTCAACAACCATAATATCATACATTTTTACTAAATTCTACACATTTTATTAGTTTTTAATTTTGTTAACAATTGCTATTTCTCTCTCAATAGTATTCGCATTTAAAAAATTTACTTTAGTTATCTTTGCTACTATTTCCTCTTTTGTGCTTATTTTTAAGCATGAATATATTGAACCCTAACACCCTTTTCCTAAGATGCTATCAAGATTGATTTGGTAATCATCAATAACAAACAATGGATTATAATTCATCATTTCAAATTGAGTTAAGATAATAAAAATAGAGATTAATTTAGAAATAATTAAAGGAAAAAGGAAAGTTTTGAGTAAATTTATACTTAAGGTTAGATCAAAATAATTATCTGAATTTCAAAATTTTATTCTCATCCTTTGAAGTTAAACATAAAACGAATAGATTAGAAGAATTCTTTATTTAAAATAAATATAATTTAATATATATTTTCATTGAGAGCTGAAAGATTAAGATTATATTCTATTGATAACATCGGATGATGTGTCTTCTTTAATTGTTTCATTTGATTTAAGTTCAGAGATTTTATTAATAGCCTCTTTTATTGATTTTATAAAGACAGGTTTCACAACTACATGTATCATTCCTGCATCAAAACATTATAAATGAGAATCATAGTCTTCATGAGCAGTGCATCCAATTATTGGAATGTAGCATATTTTATTATTGCTTATTAAACTTTCTAATTATTTTGTTGTGTCTATTCCATTCATTATTGGCATATCAATATCCATCATAATCATATATATTTTATTATGATTCTCGAGTACGATATCAAGACATTGTTAACCATTAAAGGCTTTTAAAAAATTCTTAAATCCCATATTTTTTAACATCAAACACAAAGTTTCATGATTGAAAGGCTCATCGTCCACTATCAAAATATAATCCTCATTTTAAATTAAATGTTATTATTACTAAATATATTCTGGCTTAATTATTTACTCAATTTAATGAGTTCTAAAACTGGTTGCTCTTGATTTAAATTAATACTCCAAAGATCTTTTCTTTGTTTTCATCCGTTGTTTTTGATGATGAAATTTTGGATTATTTTGGTGAATTGCAATCCTATTAGGAATTTAAGGTTGTGGTTCATTGTGAATTTCAGATTAATAAATTAATCGTAAGGAATTATAATTCTTAAGATCAATTTATCTTTGTGAACATTACTTAAACTTTGAAATTCTTGGACTTGATTAACTGTTAAATTGTATATTATTTAAGACTCTTAAAGATTTCTACTTTACAAAACTATTATGTTTAGATTATCCGAGCGAGCTTGCAGACTAGATTTCATGTATATCATTAATTGAAAAACAGAAAAGTAATTAATTATTAGATACTCTTAATTACAAACAACTACTATCTCCGCTCAACAATTTTATAAGCTTATTAGCTAGAAATAAACTTAACCCTAGTTTGATAGNTTAGTTATCTTTGCTACTATTTCCTCTTTTGTGCTTATTTTTAAGCATGAATATATTGAACCCTAACACCCTTTTCCTAAGATGCTATCAAGATTGATTTGGTAATCATCAATAACAAACAATGGATTATAATTCATCATTTCAAATTGAGTTAAGATAATAAAAATAGAGATTAATTTAGAAATAATTAAAGGAAAAAGGAAAGTTTTGAGTAAATTTATACTTAAGGTTAGATCAAAATAATTATCTGAATTTCAAAATTTTATTCTCATCCTTTGAAGTTAAACATAAAACGAATAGATTAGAAGAATTCTTTATTTAAAATAAATATAATTTAATATATATTTTCATTGAGAGCTGAAAGATTAAGATTATATTCTATTGATAACATCGGATGATGTGTCTTCTTTAATTGTTTCATTTGATTTAAGTTCAGAGATTTTATTAATAGCCTCTTTTATTGATTTTATAAAGACAGGTTTCACAACTACATGTATCATTCCTGCATCAAAACATTATAAATGAGAATCATAGTCTTCATGAGCAGTGCATCCAATTATTGGAATGTAGCATATTTTATTATTGCTTATTAAACTTTCTAATTATTTTGTTGTGTCTATTCCATTCATTATTGGCATATCAATATCCATCATAATCATATATATTTTATTATGATTCTCGAGTACGATATCAAGACATTGTTAACCATTAAAGGCTTTTAAAAAATTCTTAAATCCCATATTTTTTAACATCAAACACAAAGTTTCATGATTGAAAGGCTCATCGTCCACTATCAAAATATAATCCTCATTTTAAATTAAATGTTATTATTACTAAATATATTCTGGCTTAATTATTTACTCAATTTAATGAGTTCTAAAACTGGTTGCTCTTGATTTAAATTAATACTCCAAAGATCTTTTCTTTGTTTTCATCCGTTGTTTTTGATGATGAAATTTTGGATTATTTTGGTGAATTGCAATCCTATTAGGAATTTAAGGTTGTGGTTCATTGTGAATTTCAGATTAATAAATTAATCGTAAGGAATTATAATTCTTAAGATCAATTTATCTTTGTGAACATTACTTAAACTTTGAAATTCTTGGACTTGATTAACTGTTAAATTGTATATTATTTAAGACTCTTAAAGATTTCTACTTTACAAAACTATTATGTTTAGATTATCCGAGCGAGCTTGCAGACTAGATTTCATGTATATCATTAATTGAAAAACAGAAAAGTAATTAATTATTAGATACTCTTAATTACAAACAACTACTATCTCCGCTCAACAATTTTATAAGCTTATTAGCTAGAAATAAACTTAACCCTAGTTTGATAGTACGATTGTCGTCTTATTATTTATTTAATTTGTTAAAGGTTGTGCTTTCGAAAGACTTCAATTAATAATTTATTTTGTTAATTTGTTCTTCGTCCATACCTTGTCCATTATCTGTAATAGAAAAATATGTAACTTTATTCATTTAATCTAATCTAATTTCCAACGCAATAGAACCACCTTCACCTGTGTATCTATAAGAGTTATTTAAAATATTTAACAATACTCTAATCAATTTGTTTGAATCGGTATAAATGAATAATGATTTCGTCTCAATTTTTTTAAAGTTTTCATTATTGATCTTAAATAAGATATTTATATTTTTCAATTTACATTAAATTTCTATTAGATCATAAACTTCTAGTAATAAGGTTTTCAAGTTGGTTTTGTTGTTCATTAAAGGTAATTATTCAATTTCAATAGATAAATAATCTAAAATATCTTGAACCAAGTATAGTTATAATCTACAATTCAAAAGAGCTGGCTACAAGTATAATTTTTTAACTTAATCAATTATTTAATCATCCTCTTATGCTGTAATGAGATGTCCAATTGCACTATTGAGAGGAGTTTTTAATTTATGGTTAAAAATATTAATTAGGTTTTGCTTGTATTTTAGGATCTTTTGATTTTACCTAGCAAATAAACAATTTTCTATTTTTGAAAATGCAAGAACTTGGCGATTTTTATATTCAAAGTATCTAACTTAATATGAAAATTTGACATTAAGTAGTGGGTCATTTTATATTGCTATTATAAAATAATGATTATTTTTTAATAAGAATTATAATAATTCTTTAGTTGACTTAAAAATTATTTATTATTAAATTGGCTATTAGTTGAACTCCAATGAAAAACCTTGTTCATTATTTAAGAATAATTTATAATGAATGTCCTTATCATCTTAAATTAAATTAATTTTATCCCCTTTAGGACTTCCAATTAAAGTGTTTTCTGTTTATAACTTATTCATAAGAGGTAAAAAATTAGCATTTTCAGTGATATTCCTTTAATTTATATCAAAAATTTAAAGTACGAATTCCTATTTAAATTACTTTCTCAACAGGCGTCTGCATTAGTAATAAGTTTTCTATTTAGCATATTGGAAATAACCTTCCAATAATAATATAAATGTTAATTATATGCAATAGTGATCCCTTCTTTTGACATTATAAGCCCATATTGAATCGATATAATTGAATACTATTTGATTAGAAAATAGTAATAAAAAAATGTATTTTTGAGATCCAATAAGTTTAAAAAGATATAATACTGGCCATGTCAGAGCTGGTCCATATAATGTTAATTCTTTTCCATAATACAAAGTGATTAATATTAGTGATAAAATTTTTTTATTCGTAAATAACACACTGACTAATATTGAATAATATAAGTACCAATACTGCATAAAATTAGTACACAAGAAAGTATTAAAGTGATATACGTAATATTATCAAAACAATATCCAAAATCTACAACAGACAAAATTGTCAGCATTGCTCCCATTCTTTTCTCTTTAGAAATTTGCATTTAATAAATAAATATATAATATATCAATCCTACTAATTTCTATGATTATACAATCTATTGATTATATCATTTTTTAGATATTCAGCTCAAAAGTCCTTAAAACATCATTTATCAAAATTTATACCCAAAGTCTTTATATGAATGACTTTTTTATTTACCAAGCTAATTCATTCTTTTTCTTTATTTAAAATGCAAATACTTTAGAAGTATTCTTTCAAAATTATCATTCTATGTTAGTATATGTTATAAGAGGAAATTTTCGAATTATTTAATAAGTGATTGTCAAATTTGAATGCAATAAATACTATCTTTTGTTCTATAGTTACTTATAAATGTATAAGATTGTGTATTTTTTCGAAGAATTTCCAGGAATTTATAAAAATTCGTAAAATAGAATATTAATACTATTTTCTACTTTAACAAACCAGATTTTTGAATTTTCGTTGTATTATGATTTAACAAAATCAATGGCAAGTAGTGTCAATTTTTAAGTAATAGGCAATGATAAGCTTCTAAATTGAGTAGAATTATCAAAATGCATTTCGAAAAACAAATGTCTTATTAATTTGAGTAAGTTGATGAAATTCCTTTTTCATTGGCTTTATAATCAATTTTAGATTCACTGTTGGTTCTCAACAAATTCGAAATTGAAGATGCTTCACTAATAAAATAAAGAGTGAAGGCTTTTGAAAATAATTTTATAGTGGTTATAAATTAATAATTCAGTCACAATTATGTTGGATGAAATTTAATCAGTTTCATAATCAGTTGCTTTAGTAAGTGTGCAACCTTAGAAAATTTGAGAATACATCTTTTTTGATCTATTTAAAAAATGGATTTTATATTAATATTATAACACTCTAAACTCTAATTTAGATAAATGTTATTATTATTACATCCAGAATTTTTAATTAACCTAAGCAAGGAAGTACTAAGTATTTAGTTTAAATTGCTTATTCAGATCAATAAGAAAGAATTATTTTTTTATTTTTTTAACCTTACATACTCTATTAAAACATATTAATCATATGATTAAATCTCTAAATTTAATACATGAAATTCTAATTTAAGAATGATAAAAATATATTTAAAAATGTTGCTGTTATTTAACTCTCTATAAGAATTTGTAAATCAGAGTAAGAGGAATATGAATTTAATATAAAAAGAAATAGTATTCATGTGGAAATATTTTATATCACTTTATTCTTGAAATCTTTAAAGAATAGAAATCACTTAGTTGTTCTTCAATCAATTAAACTGAAACAAATATTGAAAATTATGCTAATAAAAAGATTCCAAATGATATTCTATTAATTATGGAGTACTATCATAATAGTACAATTTCAAGTCTGTTGAAAGTAAAAGAAAGATTTTGATAGTAATTTGCAATTGAAAAATTCAAATACTTTTTGACAATATATATATTGAACAGATGTGATTGATCATAATGAAGTGATTCCTTTTTTTAAAGGACTAATTAAAATGATTCCATCTCCTCTTAGGTAGAGAGCGTCTAATTTTCTTTTAGTTTTGATTCCTTCTTAAAATGATGTTTCTTCTGCTTTGCTGATTATCATGTTCAAATGATTGTCATAACTGACTAGAGTTCCTTTCAGTTCAATATTATTTCTCATTTTGATATAAATTTGTTATGCTATTGAAAATTTAAGCACATCTAGTGGTTCATCTAAAGTGTCCATGATTATAAAATAATAATATTTTTATTATACCGTTTTTTATGAAATAAGTCACCTTCTTATTCATCCTTTTTACTTTAAGCATCCAAACATAATTGCAATCTAAAGTAGATTAAGTTATGGCATAAATGGATTAAATGGCATTAAAAAATGATTTTTCAAAGCAATTAGCAGGTCTAATTGAGCTTAAAATGTTATAAAGCTCTTATGTCGAGGAAGTTCTCAAGGAGATAAAAGGTATAAGAGACTAATTAATTGCCGATTAAAGTGTTGAGGATTAAGAATATGCAAAAGTAAATAAATTAAAGTATTATTACCTAAGAAAATTGGACAATTGAATGTGGAAATTGAAATTTTAGAAATACAAACCGAAAAGCTTGCCAAAGAATTACAAAGATTAAACTAATAAATTGCAGAATTGAATGAAGATATTAGCAAACTAATTGGTACCTAATAATCATAAGAGAAATAATTAAGTACCTTGAACTCAAAAGAGGAAGAAATTAGAAACTAATACAAAAGTGAAATCGAAACTCTTAAGGTAACAATTATGTCTATACCAAGCAAAGAACAACAAATAATATCAAATCGATTGATGGATTAAATGAAATGATTGCAAAATTACAATAAGCAGTGTTTGCAGAGTAAAGTAAAACTACTGTACTCTCCTAATAACATACAAAACAGTATGTTGATGATCTTAGAAACTAATTAGGACCAAATCATCCTTTGACTGCTTTAGTCGCTGTAACTACAAAGTAATTTGAGGTTTTTGATTTAGATTTGATGTACCCACTGTGACTAAAATTATTTAACTTCTTGAAAATATCAGAGGTGAGAGAATCCAGGAAAATGCAGGTGCTGATGAATACGAAGCAAAAGTTACTTCATCTTATCAAATTACTTTAAAAGAAGTAACTGAAGTTAGAGAAAGATTAAGTGCTGATTATTCAAGAACTGTAGTTACTCTTAAAAGAAGAAATGAAGAAAATGTATTATTTCTCCTAATTTTCAGGCTCTCTCTACAAAGTCGAGATACTAAATCTAAAAAGATTTACCAATTGCTTAAGATTTACTTCAATAATATAGAAATGAAAGAGAAATTGTTTAATCCAATTATAATATTAGATCTGCTAAAAGAGAAAATGAAATTAAAATCATAACTCAAGCATATACTATAGTAGCACAACAAGTTAGAGTATGAAAATATCAAAGAATTCAATATTTATTATTAATTTTTATAAAGATCAATAAAATTAGTCATCATGAATCAATCTATGGCTAAATTGTATTCTCAAGATGGAACAGGAAGAGATTCTTACATCTTTTATGATAACGGAGGCTTTTATCCTGGTGATTTCAAATTATAAAAAACGCCATAACATTAAAGCTGTAATTATAATTCTAAAATTCTCAGGGGCTTACGGTACATACTCTCCTTAAAAAACTCATTTCAAACCTGAAAAACGATAATTTTATATTAGCGATGGCACTGGAAGAGATACATATGTAATTAGAAATGTAAAAGATAAAGCATTTTTTTCTCCTGACTTTTCATTTCAATTAAGAAAATATGATTCTCAAATTATGAATCCTTAATATCCATATAAATTACCTCCCTTAAAGCAGGCTTAATTATCTATTAAATCTGATAAGCAGAAATCATTAATATAGAGGCTAGCAAAACCAAAACTTAGAACTCAAAATGATTGAATAAGTATTGTTTTATACAAATTTATAATATCAAATATATTGTCATATTATTGTTTTAATGCACGATAACAAGATTTACTACACACCGGAATCAGCCATTATTTTACAAGAATTAAAACAAAAAAAATAATTGAAACCAAGATAATTATCTGAAGATAATCCTAAAATCAATTTATAGGAGATAAAAATACCTCAAAGAAGCAGATAAATTTCTTTAACGAAAGAATTGGATTATTATGTAAAGATGTCAAAGAAAGAGAATATGAAAGAAAAATAAAAAAAGTTGAACTAAGACTTAGCTAGCTTTAAATATTAATATAAAGATATATTGTCAGATAACCCTTATGTCAATAATAAACTCAAAAAAAACTTTTGTAATCTGAAATTTTCTGATGAACAGAGAGAAACATATGCAATTAGGTTGGGAAGATTAGCAGTGAAACATAATGAACAAATCAAATAGATGTAACGGATAGTTAATGATATTCATGTATGATAGAGTAATTGTAATTTAGAAAAAATATGAAGCTCATAATGAATAGTTAAATTGTTATATGCCGAAAACAATAGAAACCTTGGTTACAGAAAGTGATTCTTATATAAAAAGTAGTAAAATCTATAATCCTGATATTTTGGCAAAATACTAATAATTAAAATACTAGCATTTTTGGAATAAAATACCTAAAACTTTAGCAAATTGAAAATTAATCTTGTATTTTCAATTTTAACTATAATAAATAATGGATAATCAGATATGGGTATATTTAATGATATCATCATCCTAATAAGAGGGGTGCATGAATATTCATCATAAAAGTACCATAATTAGTTTTATTTAATTTAATTATTGATTATGAACTAAAAAAAAAACTATATATAATGAAATTCTGATCTAACACTAATTTGAGAAAAAAAATTTTAAAATTAAATCTGATAAGATATTTATCATCAACTCAATAAAGTGTCTTGTATTTGCGATGATTTCACCTTAAATTACACAAAACTGCTGAATCCAAACAATAGATTATAGAGGACAATTAAGATTTGACTACCTGCTTAGAGTTTCCAATCTTTGCTTCCTGATGCAAACCAGAATTATAACATTGTTGCCAAAGCGAAACCAAATCCTATTAGGAGGGATATAAAAATGATGTTTTTTAAGAGGTCTGGTTTTATTTTATCCTTTAAAACTGGTTTTTCTAATAGTTCAATCAAAATGACAATGATTGCAATTGCCAGATCTATTCCACCATAAACTGGAGCTTACTTTACAACATCACAAAAGTAGTCTCCATGGCAATCCTCAATGGATCCAGTCGATTCCTAATCCAATATTTTAATTCTTATTTTGCCAGAGTATGTCAAATAGGCCGATAGCAAATTAGAGTTGCCTGTGGAAGCTCCAACATCTAGTTAATAACAAATTATTATAAAGACTGCAACAAGCACCATTGAACCTACTTTTATCAGCTTTGACTTACCAATCAAAATATCCATATAATTTCTATATAATTAATGATTTTTTATATTAAATTCCTTTTATATTCATATTTTTAAATTCTATATAGACTTCAAATATGAATTATCCTTATTCTATATAAGAATAAGAAAAATGAGAAACTTAGAAATTCTGCAGAACTTTACAAATTGATGTTTAATTTAGAATTAAATCAATACTTAGAATGATAAATTATTGTTAGTTGAAGTTAAAGCTAATATTTTGCTGGCTACCAAATGAAAATCCTAGAATTAATTATTATTATAAAATTAGATAAAGTGAAGAAGATTTTTTTATGATAATTAATATTGCCTTAAGATGTCAAGTATTTCAAGAGCAGCCTCTAATACATTATTTCGAATAATGCGGTATTTTCATTATTACAAATCTAATTGATGTATCGAGTTTCCATAATTTGATCATTAAACTAATTTAGATGAGCAGAAATAGTAAATATTAAATTACAAAATCATGAGGACTATTTTTAGAAGCAAATGATTTTTCTAAATGAAAGCTAGAAACTAATTGATTAAAAAAGCAAAGATAAAAATTCTAATATATTTTCAAGTATATAGAATTGGGTAATTAATGCTATTGATAACATTAAATTAAAAAATATAGAGAACAATACTTGTTTAAAATACTTTTGAAATCATTATGGGAGTTAAAATTAGAATCTTAACATTTTTTGATTATTTTATAACCCTTAGTTAAATTGAGATATCAGGAATGATGATTTACCTATTTATTTATGGTATATCAACTACTATTATGGTGTATGTAACAATTATATTTACGAATAAAATTGTGATTATGTGTTATTAGAAAATTATTTGTAAATATATATATATAATTCAGGGTTTAATATCATCTTAAAGAGACTGTAGACATAAAAACATTTTATTATTGTTATTGCTATTATGGTTTTTTTGATTTTTTTTTAGGATATAAAACTTCCGTAATATCTGTTAAAGGAGGTCTGTTTGAATGTAATAGGTTATGTTGGATAATCTCCTAAGGGCCTTCATTCTCTTTATTTGGATTTTCTTATTCCTCCTCGAATTTTAACTATTTTGAGTTCATTTTTGAATTCAAATTTAATTATTATCAAATATTATTATTTAATTCCAAATAAAAAAAATTGACATAAAAGTCATATTTGCCGGAATTCACTTCAACTAATTTTTTAAATCAGTTAGTTCAATTAAGAAATAATTATGCCTCAATGAAATTGGGTCTACTTTGAAATATAAAAGTATGTGATGAATAACATTTAAACTGAAGTTAAGGAGTAAAAAAGAATTGTAAAAGTTTCAATCTCTTATGTTACAAAAGTAACAATTGGATAATTAACTCTCTTAATAACGATATGAAATTGTAGATGTGTTTAACATATTATAATATCAAATCAATTATTAAATTACTTTTTGCGATTGCAATTTTTAAGGTTTCGAAATTTTCTAAGCTCTTCTCCATCTAAAGTTTCAATTCGAACAAATTATAATTATTCGTTGATTTTGTTAATAATTGTTTATTCCAATCCATTTTTCAATTAATCAATTGCCTATGGGAATCTAAAAAATGAATTTAATTGATATACTAATTTTTTATGCTAAGGAGGGTCTATTTGAATAAAGTATATTCATCTAATTTTACAATAGAACTTAAGAATTATTCAGTTTATTGTTAAGCTTATTAGATTTCTTCCTCATCATTGAAATCGCTGTCATCTTCATCATCTAACTCATCATCCATATAACTAGGGTTAATAAAAGATTAATTACTCATTTTATTTATATTTATAGTCTTTTTCATATTTCTCTTAAGCAATTAAATTGTTAACCATGATCGTCAGCAAATTGGGGGTCAGGAGATTAGGTTATTTCATAATCAAAGAGGACATTGTAATAATAAATAGTTTGATATCGTAGCCTGGGGAATAATGAGTTTCCAAGATTCTATTATATACAGCTGGGAAAACTTCTGTTAATACTTCATAGGTTTTTTCGGGTATTTTATAAAGAGAACTCAAAATGATACCAGTTATTCTAGACTTTAAGTGCTCATTGATATCTTGTTTTTAAAGGAGTTAGATAGTTTGGAATAGTATTTGGGAAAGGATATTTGTTTTAAGATCATCATGCAGTTCTTGGATTCCTAATTGAATTAACAATGCCCCTTCTCCTTATTCAATATCACCATGGAGATCTTCATTTTGAAGATTCTAGAATGCTAATTAAAAGTAGATGGATTGCTAAGCCTCATTAATAAAATAGTTTCTTCCGAAATGCATGTATTGATTGAGGGTTTCAAAGAGATTGCACAATCTTCCCTATTATTTTTTGATGATATTTTAGAAATATGGCAAGATTTGCATCTACAATTCTGTTACGACTGATAATTTAGTGATACATCCAGAAATAAAGAGCACTAGATCTTCATCATAATCTATTTTATCACAATAGGCTAACATTGAATACAATTATGCTAAATGCTACTCTAATTTGCCTAGGATGCCACTGAATTCATCTTGTTCAGCCAATTACCTAAGTACATTCCAACATCTATTTAAATAGATATGCCTTTATTGATCACCTGAATTTATTTTCTACTATTCAGTTATGACTCTCTAATTCAACACTTGGATTAACCCAACTAATAGGTTATCATTTTATAAAAACTGATTTGGATACTTTTTTAGCAAATTTGTTATTGTTTCAAAGTGTCTTTCATATGTACTATATTGGAGTCCATTACATAATTAGGGGAATAGTAATACTACCAAATCTTTGGTTTTGTTTTTGAGATCATCATCTTCAAATATATCTTTTAATGCATCAATTGATTAATAAAGTACGACAGGTTCCTGTGGTTATACAAAACTGATCATTATTTATAAATAAGCATTCATGTTTTAAGATTGAGTCTCCTTTTTGAATAAGTTATCGCAATAATATCCAAAGAATAGGGAGAGTCTTAATTTGATTATTTATTCTTAAACATTCTAAAAGTATAATAAATTATCAGTTAGAAGTTATTCCATCAATAACACTATATCCAATCTTTTCTATATCAAATAACTCATAATTGTCAAAATTACTAAACTACTTTCAATTCTATCAACTGGAGTATATTCTTTGAACAATTTCCTAATATGAATTGTATTTTTACTTATCTTGCAATGCCATTATAAAAGTCAATTGTTAATCCTTCAATTAAACTGGGTTATTCGATATCATGTTGATAGAATGTTATGATATAATGACTGCCAAATTTGCCAAAAATGTAGTAGATCCATCAATATGATCACATAAAGTTTCTAATAAAGATGCTGCTGCTGTCTTTGGAACATCTGATTCCTATTTATCTACTGAATCCAAGGCTAAATTAACAAACTCTTCTGGTTGGTCTTTCATTTATTAATACTCCTTCTAAGATGTTATCAAAAATGGGTATATTGCATCTGTTATTAAGGCTATTTTGGAGTCAGAAAAGATTTGGTATTGTTCTGTCTATGATCCTAAATTAGCCAATAATTTCATTATGTAGGTCATGATGTTTGTCAAATAGGGTTTACTTTAATTATAGAAAGTTGAATGAATACTTGTATATTTAATGAATGGGTTCACTGTTTGTATAAGCCAACAAGCTATAAATTAGCAATTATGTTATAGTTGTTAGATAAGGTCCAAAGGCTCCTTTTTTCACTTCATTCTTATTTCGACTGTTCAATAAAACTTATAAACACAAGAAATAGATTTTGAAAACTTAACATTTAATTTCATTTAATTGAGCGTCAAAGTGATCATTTCCTGTATTAATAATGGAGCAATTTTGAATCTATTTTCCTGTTTATGGAGAATAAGATAATAAAATCATCAGAACTCCTGAGAAAGAATTTAATTGGAACAAAATATTTTGTATTGGCTAAGTTTATTCTTTTTAACTATTATTTTTGTCAAAAACTTTTTCACATAGATCAGATACAACTTATGTATAGATTCTGATAGTTGTGATGAAATCATCTGGTAGTTCTTTTGGCTATTCTGTTAATTTAGTCATGATATACGCAGTTTGATTGAAAAACTCACTTATCCATTCATAACCAGTTTAGACAATTGAACTATATGTTTATAATTCCAAAGAGTCCTGTAAGATCTTAAAAAATATGATTCCTGTTTAAAATTGCCAATGTTGATCTTGGCGTAAAAATTCCTTCATTTTATTTTCAATTTCAGTCTTTACACCTAAATTTAGTGGATAATTACTTTTATCTTTCCTCACTATTTAACTCATACACTTTACCAAGGATTATTTACATTTTAAGGGTGTATATTGAGAAATCAGAACTCCCAGGATTGAATTGGCGTGATGAATAGTCAATTAAACTAAAATAGTTAGATAAAAAAATACTGTTATTTGCTAGCATCTTCAGCACAACTGAATTTAATAAACTGGCTGCCTGTTCTTACACTATAGAAATATTAAAGAATATTTTACTTTTGTCTTGTTGCATAGCTACTTTGGCAATTTATTAAAAATTCTAAATGTTTTCTATTAAATTAGTCACTAATTGTTTCTCTGTTTCATTTCTGATTTTATTATCTGTATTTGTAAAAACTGTTACTAATTAGTCATAGATTTCGGATGCCATCCTGATTTGAGATTTAAATTATTTAAATAATATTTATGAAAATATTAATCAACTTCATTTCTCACAAATTAAATTATATTAATTTTTTTATTATCTATTTGAAGCTCTCTTCTAAGAGCCGATAAAAAATATCTGATAATAATCAAATAAATTAAATATCAAATCGGAGATTTGAGTATTTTCTTCTTCTTTTTTTTCCCCTTGCTTCCAAATTGCTATTATTATTAATATTATTATTTCTATTATTCCAACATATCCATTAAAGTTGTCAACTCATTCATCTTGTTCTCAATCTAAATCAGCAAATCTCCAGATTGCTATTCCTCTTTATTGATATCTGAATTCATCAATTATGAATCATATCTGGGTCTCTATTGAAATTATTGGATCCTCTTTTGCAATTGTTTATTTTACCTCAATAGATCCTTGCAATTAGGACATTCTAACTAAAATAAACTACTAACCTAATTCTTCAGACTCCTCTTGTTATTATTCTTAAATGATAGGATATTCGTCTTACTAATTCTCTTCTACATATTCATAATAATTCTTTTGCTCCTTGAATAATTGTATGTTTCGAACCAACTTGTCAAAGATATCTTTAGAATATGGTTCAACAAAGCCTGGATTTTCTCTTAGATCCAAAGAGATCAAGGATTCATTTGTATCCAAAATCTAACTAAACAACTTAACTCCTTCCTCTCCTATCTAATTTTCTCTCAAACCAATATTCTTAGTCCATGAATCATACATCAAAAAATTACACAAATCCTTAACACATCTATCATTAAACATATTTTAATGCAAAAATATTTCACATAATCCTTACAATGCCAACTATTATGAAGGTTCTAATTATTTATTCATTATATTACCATCTCCTCTTATTTCCTCAGCCCATTTCATTTCATCTCTTCTGCCTGCATGTGAACTGATTATCTTACCAATTATCATCCCTGCATTTTCTTTTAATAAATTATTAGATAAATCTAATAAATTCAATGATACACATTATTAGATAGGCTCAGATAGAATTTATAAATGTTAGCTAGTCAAACTACAATTTGTTATCTTCAGTTCCTTCAAGGTTTTTGTACTCCTTAATCCAAATGAGATGCATTCACAATCCTTTGGACTCAAAATCAAATCAGTTATATGAATATGCATTAAATTGAATTGGGTCTATGTCAAATTCAAATTGATTGCTGTCAATATACCATTTATTATTTGTTGCAGTTCCTCTAAACTTACCAAATCATCTATGGAAATTTAAGCTTATTAATACTTTTATTCATTTTCTTTCTCAATCTACCATACACAAAAATTGAATCAAAATGGCACAAACTCAATAATAATTATAATGGTATTATATCTTCTATTCTTATCAAAATGGCATTTAACCTTAGAGATTAATCCTTTAAACCCTAAGCTATCAAATATCGTACAAAATATACTTATAGTTTTGCTCAAATGCACATGTTGTTCCTGACAGATTTACTTATAAATTGAAAGGTATTCTCTATTTGGATTGTATGTCTTTTTCATCTGTTAAATAAAAATTAATATAAAAATTAAAATTTGTAAATGAAATCATTATCTGCTTCCAAATACAATCATAACTATACTACTTTTACAACACCTGACAAAAAGTCTAATAAAGTATGCCCTTAAGTTATATAAGAGTAGATAAAATACACAGTCCACTATGAAACTAAGCGGTGAAATGATGTCCGTTTAAAGTTATTTATATGAATAAGCTCATCTCAAAGAAGAAGCTTCAAAAAAAGAATAAATTAGACTCATTAGATCAGTCATTGATAGTCTAGAAAAGAATAGAAATATTAAAGAATTAAATGAATAACTCTCTAAATTAATGGTTGGATTGAGAACATGTATTAATTAATAAGAAATATCAAGTTACATCATTTAATTAATTTAAATCTTACGAGAAATTACCAATAATCAATAATTTAAAAAAGAAATCTAAACTGAAAATGATAAAGCAATTCTAATTAAAAGAATACATGAATTAGAATTACAAGCCAAAGAAACTTAATGGCAATTTGGTAACTATAATTAATAATAATTGTTTAGAAATAAAAATTAGAGATCACCAAGCCATATAGAAGATTAAATAATATGAAGAGGAATTAGAGCAAATCAAAAAGTATAAAAATAAAACTCAAATCTCAAAGCCGTAATGCAATTCTCCTCAAAAAATAGAATTAAAGAATCAAATCAAACTTATGCAAGATAAAATTTAAAGCTTATCTGAAAAAGAAAAGAAATTGATTCAATTAGTAAAAGCAGTCAAATCTAGAGGAATTGATGTTGAACATATTTATAAAAACATCAATCAAATATCAAGTCAAAATAGTAGAATCACTAAAGACGAAACAATAAATGATTTTGTTGATAGTTCCCATTCAGATTTTGCAGACATTTCATAATTAGATGCTGGCCAAACTTTAATCAAAAGAAACCATAAATTTTTAATCGATTGATTTTTTCATTTCGACACATTTATTTAGTTTAATCATAAAATGTTATTCACAATGTATAATTGAAGATTCTCTTTGTAAAAACTATCAATCAAACCTTTATTAAATTAAGTATCTCTAATTAGCGCATGTGCATAATAAGATCACTGAAAATTAATTAACCAAATAGATAATTAATATTTATTTTATTAAGTAGTATACTACTTGTGATATTATTTTTTGAAATTTATTGCCATTCTCTAAAGATTTTATGCAATTAAAAATAGTTGGCTTCTTTCACTCGTATTCTATTTAATTTTTTTATTAGTTAAATAATAAATTAGATGTTAAATAAAGAAAATAATATTATATTCTTATAAGCTATTTAAGAAAAATAGTTTAACAAAGCTTATAAAATAGGATCACAAATTTTGAATAAGAACCCTAATGAATAAAGCATCAAGAGATTCATGATATTTTTGTAAAATAATCTCCAAGATTGTAATATATTTATCTAATTTTTGTGAATTATTAAAGCGAGGAAGAAGATGATGAAGAAGAATAGGATGAATATGATTACGAGATCGAACTTTATTAAAAAAGATAAAAAAAATATAAGAAAGCATAAGTATGATTTGCTATAAAAGTAGCCAATTAAGGTGAATAAGCCTGAAAGAAATCATGAAATCAAAAATATATATGATATGAGAAATAAATAAATAGAAATGCCAGTTAAAACAAAGAAATAAATCTAATAAATTAGAAATCTAAAACAAACAAACAAAATGTCAAATAAATAATTAAACAAACCATCTGATGTACAATAGATTAAAACGATTGTTCCTTAAATTTCCATACAGTTTCCTTCTTTAGTGCGAAAATGATTAACTGCTTAGCTATTGAATTTATATATCTTATATGTTGCTTTTTAGGTAAAATTGAAGCTAAAATATTGTTACATAACATTAAATAATTTAAACATATATATAAAAAGAACCAACTCATTGCTTCTATAGCGTAGGGGTATTGCACTCTTTTATTTTCAATGAAGAATCAGGAATTCTTATTTGTCTAGTAGAGTTGTATTATCTCACCATAGCCCCAATGTTACAATTTTCAGCAGTAGGATCATCAAAATTATCTTATTTACAAATTGCCATGTTTTTCATTTAACTATTTGTAAGAGCGAGTCTATGTAAATCTTATTATTTTTTTGGTTCCTACTTTTATGGTATATCTAAATAGTATTAAAATTTACCAGCAATTTCTCTTGAATTTTACTTTGACAATTTAGCGCTATATTAACTAAATTTGGATGCTGCAACAACAATTGAAGATTTCCTTTATTCTTACCTAGTAAGCGAGATATTGGATGAAATTGATTCAGAGGAGTTGAAATTCAATGGAGATCTCTATTCGATCTCCTAAGTTCCTATTTTAATTGCATTCTTAAAGTCAGAATATCCTTAAAGATTATTTTGAAATTGTTCTATTTATCTGTTGTATTCCTTGGCTAGTTCTTTGAAATACGGATGTTTTAAACACTTAAGATAGTGTGTATAATTACTTCATCTGAACTCAATCGAAAGGAAGGTTTTTTGATAAGCATTGATTAGATCAAATCTTACATTTATGTGGGAGATAGCTTAAATTATTAATCTTTAAAATCGACTTCACATTATTTATTACTCTTAAGAATAGACTTCTAATCAGCACCTGCAAATGGAGCATTACCAGTCTATTGATAGAATATTGGAATACAATTAATAGATACAAGATTACACCTGCACTAAAAACATCACATTTATCACAATAGAAATCCATTCCATCTACATATTCAAGGATTTCAGGAGCTACAAATCCTGGTGTGCCACATCTTTTAAATAAGGGTTCATCATTGAGACTGGTGGCTAAACCAAAATCAGCCAAAACAATTTCATAATGATTTTCCGTTGATTTCAATAATAAGTTTTCTGGCTTGAGATCTCTATGAATCAAATTGTTCTGATGCATGTGTCTAAGTGCACTGATTAAATTGAAAGCAAGTTTTTACATAGTTTGAGCTGGTAGGAATCCTTATAAAAATAAATTAAATACTTACCTGTTTCACGGACTCTTTATAAGAGTTCTCCTCCTTAAATCATGTCTAAAACAAAGTAAATTGAATTAGTTGTTTCATGAACTTCATGCAACTTAACAATATTTGGATGATTTAATCTTCTCATAACTTTTATCTCATTTAATAGACTCTCAATTCCCTTTGATTACTGAGACATGTAACTTTTACTGAATGCCTTTATTGCATATTAGTTATTATTTTCTTTTTTTGTTGCTGAGTATACTTTTGCGAAGCTGCCTTTGCCAATCATCTTGGATACTGAAAAAGCATCATGGAAATTGTTCATAATACAATTCAGTCGAAATTAAGACTTCCATACCTCATAATTAGCTTTATCAGAAGTGAAGATTTCTAGACTTTTTCCTTAGTAAGAAAGTCTAAAGCCATATAAAGTCTCATCTGAATTGAGTTAGACAAAATGATCTGAAGAGGGATCTATAAATTAAACATGCATCGTCAAAAGGGGGGCTCTTTTGAGTTATAAGACTGTCACTTTGAACAACACACATTCACTCATCACAAGAAATATTTTTTTGATGTTTTATTTAGAGCCCACAAGAAATTCCTATTCTATTAGATTAGATTAATCCTTCATATACTATAACATGTAATACATCAAGTAAACATTTATCGCAGAGATGCCAAAAAGTAGAAGATTTTTTACCAAAATCAAAAATGGATTATTGCATAAGTCAATCAATTATATGAATATACTTAAATTTAATAAATACTTTTTAATTTTTAATGCTGATAATCATTAAAATACGATATTATTAAAAAAGAATTTCACTTTCCATCTTGAAACAGTGCAAATAATAGCTAAAATAGTTAACTTTTTGATTCAGTATATTAGATTATATAAAAACAATCCATTTTTTCATTTATTGATATCCACTAATATAGAATTTATGTAAATTAAATGAGATTTCATTAATAAATATCCAAAATCTTCAGGATTTGAATATCTTAATTGCAAATATTTCATTTAAGAAATTAAGTCATCTCACCTATTTGATGTAGATGATATCTATTTAAAGAGGATTATGATGGTTATTTATTTAATTTTTATTAGAGTATCAATTTTAGGAGAATTGCAAATTTTATATTATAATAAAATATCGTTTTAATGAATAATAGCTTTTCAGCGGAAGGGCAAACTTATCAAGTTAGGACTGTCACAACCAGCTAGAATGTTTAAAGGACTAGCAATGGGGAATTCCAGGATGCTGTTTAAAGATATGAATTAAGAAGATCATCAAGACCCAGATAAACATCAAATAATCAATAAAACACAGTAATTACTTCTAAATACATTTAAATGGAAAATGAGGGAAGAAATAGTAATTATGACTTAGAAGCTTCAAGATAATCTCAAAGAGTAGTGGAGAAATATTAAGGGAATAGTTAGAATAGTCAATATGAAGTCAATAGGTAGAGTGTGAAAGAAGTTATGGACAAATATAGGAGAGGCAGAGGTAAGTTGTATTGAATTTAAATAGGAACAACATCCCAATTATAAACAACAGAAGTAAAATATTCAGCTGTTCCATAACCATAATATGAGTAATTGTAATAAAAGGAAACAGTTTTTGAAGGAAGAAACAGTAGATATGTTGAGGAGTAGGACTATTCACAAGAGAAATAGGTGATAATTAATTATAATACTATTTAAAGTACATTAATTTAAATATTGAAGCCAAATAATAGGTGTATGAAGTAGATTATGAATAAATCAAAGAAGATTGTTAAGTCAGTGATATTTACAGGAGACCTGAAAGAGAGGAAGATGAATAAGTAGATTTATTAGACAGTGATTATGTTTCTTGCAATATATTTTGAAATATTATTATTAATAATGAATAATTAAGATAAAGCAATTCTATACTTTAAATTTCTAAATTTCATAATCCTATTACCATCTCTCTTTATAATTCTAGTTTATTCTAAAATGATAAACTGAGAAGAATAATATGTTCTTTGTGTAGTTAAGTTGGAATTCTACTCTTGTTTTTAATATTTATTACTAACCTTTAACAATATTGATCAATACTATTTACCTTTTTTGCTAATTTATATGTTTATGCATGTTTTGGACAGTAATATAAAAAGGAGAAAATTTGACTGAACACTAAAGGACATTTTAATGAATTGGTTTTCCTATTATTTCTACCTTGATTCTAATATTAAAGAATTAATATAATACTGAAATATTTGTTTTTGGAATAGCAGACGATGATACTGATTCAAATTAAGAACAAAACTGATTTAGATTTCTTGGCAACAAATTGTTTCAATTTCTTTATTCTGAGTACTTTTGTGGTTTTCAAACAATATTGGAATAAGATTTATTATAAGAGTAAAATCTATTTATGACAAAATTAAGATCTTAACCTAATTCAATTTTAAGGCCTAGAAATTCTAATTAATAAGAATTGTAATTATTTACAAAATAAGAATTACTAATATCCCGAAGAATATAGAAATATGTTATTATATCAGATAATAATGTTGATTTGTTCTATTAGAATGATGTTATATGAAATAGTCATATGATGTGATTAATATAGAGAGGAATCAAATTTATAATAGAAGATCGTAAG